TTATCTATTTATGAAGTAAACTGCTTATTCCCAGCAACAACCAGGTAAAGAAGGTTGTTATTAGCTCCATTTATATGAAAGAGAAGGATAAGGTAATTTTTGGGCCTGCCATAGCCAGAGCTTAAAGAGTTTACATCTGAGCTCAGGGCTTAGGTCTCAAACTGCAGTGCTCTTTGTACTTTCATTGAACTGTTTTAGGAAAAGAAACCAAGCTCAATTCTCATGGGGTTCAAAAGGGATGCTCATCAGAAACAGATTTTCCATAACTTAAAAAATCTCTATTAAAAGGCCAGGTGTGGTGGCTCAGCCTGTAATCCTAGCCAAGGATTAGGGAGACCAAGCCAGGCAGATTGCCTGAGCTCAGGAGTTCGAGACCAGCCTGGGCAACACGGTGAAACTCCATCTCTACTACAAATACAAAAAGTAGTCAGGCAAGGCGGTGTGCACCTGTAGTCCCAGCTACTCAGGAGGCTGAGACAGGAGAACTGCTTGAACCCGGGAGGCAGACGGCACACTGAGCCAAGATCGTATCACGCACTCCAGCCTGGGTGACAGAGTGAGACTCCATCTCAAAACAAACAAACAAACAAACAAACGAACAAAAACGCTATTAAAAAAAAGATACTCTCCATTTTCTCTAAACTAGGGCTAGGCTCTGGCCACAGAAATCAAGTGCTATTCATGTTAAAATAGGCTTTTGTTTTTCTTTTGAAACTCTCTCATTTAATTTCCTTTCATTTAACACTCTTAAAAAATTTCCAACAGTGACTCACGCCTGTAATCCTAGCACTTTAGGAGGCCAAGGTGGGTGGATTACTTGAGGCCAAGAGTTCAAGACCAGCTTGGCCCATATGGTGAAACCCTGTCTCTACTAAAAACTACAAAAATTAGCTGGACTTGAGCCCGTAACCCCAGCTGCTCAGAAGGCTGAGGCAGGAGAAACGCTTGAACCCAGTGAGCCAAGATCGTGCCACTGCACTCCAGTTTGGGCAACAGAGTGAGACGCTGCCTCAAAAAAAAAAAAAAAAAAAAAAAAAAAGTCCCCAGTTCTACTTGTACTCATTTAGGTATGTGTGTATTTAATTCAGTACACTTTTATTGCTTGTGTAGGTTCATATACCCACCACAGAAAAGATACTCAATGATTATTATCACCATGAAGATTCCCCCATGTTGCCCTTTTATAACCACCCATACCTCTTAACCCCTGCCCCATTAATCTGTTCCCCATTCTAAAATTTTGTCATTTCAAAAATGTTATACAGTCACATAACATGTAACATTTGACACTAGTTTTTTTGTAAAGAGACAAATGCAATGTAGATGATATATAAAGAAAAATCCAGTGAAAAGTAAGTCTTCACCAAAATGTTTTGTCTTTCCTTTCCCATGTCTTCTATCCATGTTACTGTCCTAATATTGTCATGTAATCATCAGAAAGTCTCAAAGTGATTTTAAGTTTTTCACCCAGATAATGGTTTTCTCCAGTAATTTCCAATCACGACTTCACATTATAATGACCTGGGCAGCTTTTAGTAAGTAAAAAATACTTCACTCTGGGTGGAAGTGGGGTGGGGTGCAGTGGCCGGGACATAAACTAGGGTTAAAGCTACTGCCATAGAGTAAGACAGTATGTAAGATACTGTTTGCCAGGACAGGGTGGGAAGGTTGGGGAGGAGTCCAGAAAATAAGGAAGGTAGACAAAAACTAACCTAAAAGAAATTAGTAGACAATTAGTTGGAAAGTGGTTCTAACAATAACAAAATTAATTAGATTTACAAGAAGGAAAACATTAATTCAGACTGATGGGAGAACAGATTTATTGGAAGACTATCAGGACTTAGCACAAACACAATCTCACTTTTTTCAATGCACGTTTCCGTGTGTGCCTACCAGGTGGTAGACTCTTCATACTAACAAAGATGAACATAACAAAGTACCTACTCTTAAGAGTCAACCTGGAAAGTACAAATTAGCAAACAGGCAATTATACAATCCAGGAATCCAAATAGACTTAGGGATACAAGAACGGCTGGGAGTACCTCTTCCTAGTCTAGGACAGACGAGGAAGAACAAAGCTAGAAGAATTTAGGAATGGATTGAAGGCCATTCCAAAAGAAGGGGAGTTTGTAAGAATAAGGATGTATAAAAGAGCCAGGAGAAATGGTCATAAATTGGTGTGGAAAAGTGAAGATTAGAGTAAAAAGGTAGGTAAGTAGATCATGAGAGTTTTTCTTAGCTAAACAGGGAAAATTATGTTTTTGAATCAAAGTTTTCAGAATGCTTCATAAGCAGGAGCTGTTAACTGGGGCCTGAAGAAAGAATGCAGGGAGTATACAAACTTGGATAGAAAAAAACTTACATCCTCTAATTGAAACTTAGCATTTCCTCCATATAAATGTAGGAAACTATCCACAGTAGTGGATTTTTTTTTTTTTTTTTTTTTTTTTTTGTCGTAGTCTCACTCTGTCACCTGCGCTGGAGTACAGTGGCACAATCTCGGTTCACTGCAACCTAAGCCTCCTAGGTCCAAGCGATTCTCCTGCCTCAGCCTCCTGAGTAGCTAGGACTACAAGTACCTGCCACCATGCTCAGCTAATTTTTTTGTATTTTTAGTACAGACAGGGTTTCACCATGTTAGTCAGGATGATCTTGATCTCCTGAGGTCATGATCCACCCACCTTGGCCTCCCAAAGTACTGGGATTACAGGTGTGAGCCACCAAGCCCAAGCCCAGCCCACAGTAGTGGATTAATCTGACTTCATTACAAAAAAAAAAAAAAGCATCTTTTTTTTCATATTACTTTAGAATTGTTACAAGTATTTTGAAAAACATTAGATCTGCTGCTAGGTCTCACTATTTAATATATTAACAAAGAAGAATATATATTATTATATCTCAAATTGTTTATTTTTTGCTACTCCTAGGTGAATGCTTCCTAATTTTGGCTTATGTAGTGGTCCTCAGAATGCCTACTCTGCCCTCCTTCCCCTTCCTGGGAAACCCAAGAATAGAAAGATCCAGCCTCAAGTGTAGGGTTCACGTCAATTCAGAAACAGACCTGTATATCATGTGAAGCAAACTACCTATTTTAAGCAAACAGTTAATTACTTCTAAATAAGATTGAACAATCAAAGATCACCATACAATTGCAGATATATAAAAGTTAAAACTAGAAAGAATAAGTTGAATACATACAACTAATCCAGAACAACTAAAAATAATGCAAAATGTGGCACATATATACCATGGAATACTATGCAGCCATAAAAATGGATGAGTTCATGTTCTTTGCAGGGACATGAACGAAGCTGGAAACCATCATTCTCAGCAAACTGACACAAGAACAGAAAACCAAATACCACATGTTCTCACTTACAAGTGGGTGTTCAACAATGAGAACACATGGACACAGGGAGGGGAACATCACACACTGGGGCCTGTTGGGGGTGGGGGTGGGGGTTAGGGAAGGGATAGTAGGGGCTGGTGGGATGGGGAGGGTTAACATTAGGAGAAATACCTAATGTAGCAGACAAGGGGTTGGAGGCGGCAAACCACCACGGCATGTGTAACAATGCACAATCTGCATATGTACCCCAGAACTTAGAGTATAATTAAAAAAAGGAAAAAAATTTCAAAGAACAGAAAGGAACTTTAAACAATCTATATTAGTCAAAGAGATCTGAAAAGACATTACATCCATGAAACACTAAAACTAATCAAAAAGCAAAAATAGTTCTTGTATATTAAAAACATGCTTGCCAAAATAAAAAACTCAATTAAACACTCGTATCCTGTGTGGGTAATAAATAACAATACAGACATGGTTGAAGACCAATTTAGTTTTATAAGACAAAATCCAAGAAATCTCCAAGAATTTAAAGCTAAGAGGCAAGACCAAAAGTTTAAAAACAGTAAAGAAATATGGAGGCTACAGCCAAAATTTATCTAATAGGAATTCCACAAGGAGAGAAAAGAAAGGATAAGAAAAATCCTTCCCACAGCTGAAAGACTGAAAGGGCACACTCACTGCATGACCAAAATAATGAAAAATGACATATCAGAACACATCCTGGTAAAGTATCTGTACTCTAAAGATAAAAAAAAAAAAAAAACCTTGTAGAAGTTTTCATAGAGGGAAGGAAAAACCCACAGGTTTTATATAAAGAAATGAGATTCTATGTCTTCTACGTAAATCCAAAGATCTCTTTCATTAGAAGCTACACAATGTGATCACTTAATCAATCGTAATTACCACAAATTTACAGAGAAAAATTGCAAATCCCATATATTTCCCAATACTACATCATGAAATTGCAAGAGATGGTTAAAATCTGGGTATCTATTTTAAGAATCCTTCAAAAAAGTACATATATCCTCCAAATAACGTAGGTTTCTCTAAATAACTAGGGAGCCTTATTTTGATAATCAATTAACAAACTCTACTGCAATGCAGTTATGTCTCAGGGGCTACAAAAGCATGTGGGACTAAGCAGCCCTGACTGCTGTGCTATTTAAATTCCAATGTCTGTTTTCCATCTTTCCTCCTATTTTCCCTTGTATTGAGATTATCAGTTGTCATTTCTTATAAGTCTCAGTGTATTAATTTTATGAATTACCTCCCCTCCGCTTTTTCCAATCTGACAATTCTAATCTCTTCTGGTCTGAAAAAACAGATAATCGTGTCTATTTAAACTGCATCTAAAGTATAATGGCACTGAGTAAAGGCCTTCCTTAAAAAAGAATAAAGTTTAAGGCATCTGTTAAAATTGCCCAAGGATCTTTATAGTTTAATTTTTGGTTTTTGGAAATGTTACAAAGGGCTGAGAGTTCATGATAAATTCTGGAAAAGTGAATCATTAAATCATGCTTTCTAAAGGACTTATTTTCTATCAGAGATTTTACACAAAGACTTTAATAAGGTCTCTTTCCTTCTTTTACATGTACTTTCTTTTAATCTTGTGATCTAGTCCTGAATTTAAAGTTTAGCAAATCTCTACCTGTCCGGGAAGAGGCGTGTTGCCAGCATATAGTTCATGGAGGTCTTATGCTCGAGGTAGGACCTGAAAGGCAAAGAAAGAATCTGGTTATTTCTTAAGCTAGTTCAGGAGGAAAATGTGGAAATAAACACATGACTCAAGCACAGAAGTAACAGATTGTTCATATGCTGTTTTGAATGAAATATACTGTTTGTAAAGTGGCCAAGGAAAAGACAGTTTCTCCAATTTAAATTATAAGATACTATAATAGAAACAAACAGAATAAAAAGAATAAGGAAAAAGAGGACAATTTAGAAAACAGAAAGAAAAACCAGCATTTCCTCAATTCCTAATAGGTAATATACTAAGTTCAGAAAATAAGACTAAAAGATAAAAGAAAAACTAACAGAAGTTTATATACAGATCAAATGAAACTGGGGATAGGAGATGCATAAAGGGGCTGAAAATGTAGATTAGAGACTGTTTCAATCATGTTATTCCTCAAATTAAGAGCTTTCAGTGGCTCCTGGAAGTCTACTACAAAAAGCAAATACTTTCTCTTCCAAATTTTCAAAAGTTGGGTCATCTGTAACATCAATTCATTCACTTTCTCCACATGGTTGCTCAACACGGATCCTGCAGTACAGTCAGCCAAGTCTCCTTAGAATCCTCTTGTCAGAGCGGTTTGAACCAGAGCAACTCCATCTTGACTAGGGGCTGGGTAAAATGAGGCTGAGGCCTACTGGGCTGCATTTCCAGATGGTAAGGCATTCTAAGTCACAGAACGAGACCGGAGGTCCATACAACAGGTGATAAAGACCTTGCTGATAAAACAGGTTGCAGTACAGAAGCCAGCTAAAAGCCACCAAAACCAAGATGGCAATGAGAGGGACCTCTGGTTGTTTTCACTGTTACACTCCCACCAGCACCATGACAGTTTACAAATGCCCTGCAATGTCAGGAAGTTATCCTATATGGTCTACAAAGGGGAGGCATGAATAATACACCCCTTTAGCACACTATCAAGAAATAACCATAAAAATGAGCAACTGGCAGCCTATGGAGCAGTCATTCTTTTATTCCTTTACTTTCTTAATAAACTTGCTTTCACTTTCCTATACGGAATCACCTGAATTCTTTCTTGTACAAGATCCAAGAACCCTCTCCTGGGGTCTGGATAGGGACCCCTTCCTGTAACACTCTCACACCTCCCATTGATCTATTGCCTCTGACTGGACACCTTCTCCCCATATCCCCTCTACATCTTTGCAGTGGTCCTCCCTCATGTTTCAGTTACCCACAGTAAACAAAAGTCTGAAAATATTAGATGAAAAATTCCATTAGTAATTCATAAATTTTTAATTATGCACTGTCCTGAGAAGTGTGATAAAATCTCACACATTCTGCTCTTTCCCACCAGGAATGTGGATCATCCCTTTGTCCAGTGTCTCTGCACTGTAGATATTCCAAGCCCATGAACCACTTAGCGCTTGTGTTCAAGGAATCCTTATTTTACTTAATAATGGCCTCCAAAGGCAAGAGTAGTGATGCTGGCAATCTGCATATGCTCAAGAGAACTGTAAAGTGCTTCCTTTTAATGAAAAGGTAAAAAGTTCTTGACTTAAGGAAACAAAAATCATATGCTGGAGTTGCTAAAATAAAAACAAATTTTCTATGCATGAAATCGTGAAGAAGAAAGAAATTCATGCTAGTTCTACTGTCACACCTCAGACGACAAAAGTGATGGCCACAGTGCACGGTAAGTACTCAGATGGAAAAGACATTAAATTTTGGGGTGGAAGACATGAACAAGTGACTGCAGTGTGTCACACCAGAAAACACTGAGCCCACACAAAGACTTCAGCAAGGGATCTGAAATGAGTGACACCAAGCCATTTACTGCAAGTAAGGGGTGGTTACACACATTTAGGAACACAGAAGGTCAACAGGAGCCTAACACTAAGTCACAATGCCTATGGCATTCACCTCACTTCATCTCATCTCACTGTATCATCACACATCCTCACAAAGGGAAGGGCAAGTACAGAACAGTAAGACATCTGAGAGGCCATATTCACATAACTTGTGTTACAGAAGATTGTTTTAACTGCTCTATTTTGTTATTAGTTACTGTTAATATCTTACTGTGCCTAGTTAACAAATTTAACTTTATCATGGGTACATAGTATAGGAAAAAACATAGTATATATAGTTGTGAACAACGCAGGGGTTAGGGGTACTGCCCTCCCTCCCACAGAGTCAAAAATTTTCACATAACTTTTGCTTCCTCAAAAAGTTAATTATTAATAGCCTACTGTTGACCAGAAGTCTTACCAGTAACATAAAAACTGGATTAACACATATTTTGTATGTTATATGTATTATACACTATATTCTGACAAGAAAGTAAGCTAGAGCAAATGTTATTAAGAAAATCATAAGGAGGAGGAAGAAGATCTAGTTGCTGTCTCAGGGTGGCAGAGGCAAAAGAAAATCCATGTATAATTGTACTTCAAACACATATTGCCTGAGTCAACTGCTGGTACTATCCACAGTTTCAGGCATCCACAGGCGCTCTTGGAAGGTATCCTTTGCAGATAATCCTCTGCTGGTAAGGGGTTTTCTATTCTAATACACCTTTCAAAAAGCAGGTCAAGTCCACTCTGCTGTACAAAGCCTTCCCTGATATGTCCGACCATGTCTTTACTGTATGCCTGAGGACCCGTCACATACTGTTCCTACAGAGCAAACTTTTTCCTGCTCTGTAAGATGCAGCAGGAAAAAAGTAGGATCTAGACTCAGAATACCTGATCCAAGTCTCACTGTGTGGTAATGGACAAGTCACATTGTTTTACTGAGCCTTAGTGTCCTTGCCATTAAAACGTGAATGAAACAATGAAGTATATAAAGTACATTACAATTACAAAAAGCTATACAAATATGAGCTGTTCTAACATGTTTAAGTAATTTTCCATGAACATACTGATACCTCCCAACAGATAGGGATCCCACCTAATATTTATTTTATATGTCAAAGAACCAGACATAGTGCTAGACATTTGTTGGTAATAAATATGTATTAATAAAATGGCATATTTGTTAGTAGATAAACATATCTCCCACATTCTATGTAAAGGCAGCTCAATTAATATTAATTGAGTCTCTTTTCTCAGAATGCACCAAGAGAGTTAGAGTAATTTATCGATGTGATTGGTAATTTAGAAAAAAAAAAAAAAAAAAACAGAAAATGGTGCACTGAGCACCTCTCCTTTTGCTCTTGGGAGATAACCCCCCTTAGTAAATACATATCCGCTACTGCTCCTATAGGGTCAGGCACTCCCCATACATGGCTCAGACCAACCTTGCTTACAATAGGCATATAAGTGTCCAATTCTGGAGTTCAACCAGAAGTACATTTGCTTGCAGACAGTTATAATCAATTCCAACCTAGACTTTATCAGTAAAAAATACAGTATTTTGGTCTCCATCTATTTTAGCCCTTGTTTTATTTCTGAAATGATTCAAAACCAAGCTAGTAAAGAAAGGTATCATTGTTGGACTTCCTTAAAAGACCCCCAACATTATTTGTAATTGATTCCATAGAAAAAGATACTTACAGAAAGGTCCTATAACTTGAAATACTCAAAAATGGAGGGTCCCCTTTTCATTAATTAAAAGATATGTTTTTGAGGAAATGAAAAAATTCAAATTCTTTAAAAAATATTTCAAAAGATTTATATATATATGTATAATTTTCAACAAAACCCAGGCAATATTTTTCTGTTGAATTCCTAGGTCTTCATAAGGTATAACTACATGAATAGCATATTTTGAAAGATAAACAGATGATTTCTCAATGAACAGCCATGTTTTCTAAACAAACAAGCAAATTTTTAAAAAATGATCTTTTCTTTTACTCCTCTAAGTTCTACCTCTGTACTTAGAACCATGAACATCCCAACTAGGTCAAAAAGCAGTTACCAGAGGAAGAAAAGTATGTTGCCTATAAACGAGTACAAAGATTCTCAACCTTGCTAGCAATCAGAGAAATGCAAATGAAGACCAAAATAAGATATTTTACTCCCACTAGAATGACAAAAATTAAGAAGTGTCTGACAGTGCTGCAACTGGAGAAGAGACATCAACAGATTCTCTTTTGCATTGCTGAAAGGAGTATAAATTTACATAGCTACTTTGGAAAATAATTTAGCATTATCTTTTTTTCTAAAGCATTATCTTTTAAAGCTGAACATTCACATGTTTTAAGGCACTGCGCCTATAAGAAGACTGCAGCAAGGGATCTGAAATGAGTGACACCAACCCTGTTTACTGGTTCACATATGTTAAGGCCCAGTAATTCCACTCCTAGGTATATGCCCAGCAGACACATATAAAAATATTTGCACCACAGCTGTTCTTAACAGCAAAAGACCAGAAAGAAGTCAAATCCTCAACAACAGGAGAACAGAAAAATTCACAGCCGTATAAACACACAGTAAATATAATAAAGCATTGAAAAAAATGAACTGTAACTATATGTAACATGAACCTTAATTACAAAATACCGAATGAAAAAAGCAAGAGTACACAGAACTTGTCTTTTTTTTTTAAGAAAAACTTTAAAAGCAATTAAAACTAAACAAAAGAACTCTGCTTTTACACGAGAGGATAACTGTTACTGGATACACTCTCCTACCATAAACAGCTAGAAAAGCATACAAGTTATTTGAAGTAACTGTTTTCAGACATTAAACAACTGGCAGCACAGGACTATGATCTCTGACAGAGGGAAACACTGAAGTGAGCCCTACAACTGCCCCATGTTTCTGCCTGGAGCCAATTTCCAGACTACGTAGAAAGAGAGGAAATGCAAATAGAACCCAACAGTCTCCAAAAAGAGATGACAGAAATCAAATTTCTAGGGAGTGGCTAGAATTTTCAGAGCAATGTCCTGGAGAAGAAGTTGTGCAGAACAAGATATCTAAAAATCATCTTGCGGGACCCCTTGAATCTTTGGGTGAACACAACTCTGCTTAGGTATAGGGCAAAAGTCCACAAGGCTAAGCAAAGTGCAAGTTATCAGGATAAAGAACAAATTAAGGAGAAAGTAAGGTGTAAGGTGAATAATTCCCAGAGTTCACATAAGGTGGCAAATTGAGTTCCCGCCACTCAGAATGGAAAAATCTCATTGAACATGGATGTAATTTAACAGACACCCCAAAAGAGTCTTTAGTAGAGGAGCTAACTTGGATCTAGACAAAAAGCTACTCTAAATGAATAACAATGCTTAAAAATAAGCCTGAAAAAGATAAGCTGATTTACAAATTACTGAAGTGCCTGACCAAAAGAAAAAAAATTCAAAAGGGTTTAAAGAAGGCGATAAAATCCAAACACTCAACAATATAACATTTGCAATGTCCAGAATTCAGTTAAAGAAATTACTATAAATGTGAAGAAACAAAAATGTGACCTATAAACATGAGGAAAAGCAGTCAATAGAAACAGAACCCAAAATGACAGATAATAGAATATTTTAAAACAGTTATTATAAATATTATAACATATAAACAAAAATGTAAAGGAAACCATGAACATAATGAAAAAGAGAAAAAGAAGACACAAAAACTGATGGGAAAAAAAATATGAGGCCAGGTGCAGTGGCTCATGCCTATAATCCCAGCACTTTGGAGGGTGAGGTGGGCAGATCATGATCAGTAGTCCAAGACCAGCCTGACCAACATGGTGAAACCCCATCTATACTAAAAATACAAAAAATTAGCCGGGCATGGTGGTATGCACTTGTAATCCCAGCTACTCAGGAGAATGAGACAGGAAAATCACTTGAACCCAGGGGAGGCAAAGGTTGCAGTGAGCTGAAATCACCTCACTGCACTCCAGCCTGGGCAACAGAGCAAGACTTCGTCTCAAAAATAAATAAATAAATAAATAAAAATAAAATACCTGAAATGAAAATTTCACTGGGTAGAATTAACAGAGGATTAGGTACTGCAGACAAAATGATGAATGACCTTAGAGACACAGAGAAATAGAAAAACATCCCAAATTAAGTAAAGAAAGAAAACAAAATATGAAAAAATATGAGCACAGCCAAATTTGAGGTAAAATATAAACTAAGTAACCACAGTTCCCAAAAAAGACAGAAAAGGAGAAAAATATATTTGAAGGAATAAAGGCCAAAAATTTTCCAAATCTGATAAAAACTATAAGCCCATAGATGAAGCTCAATGAATCCCAAGCAGAAGAAACATGAAGAAAATGACACCAAGGCACATCGTAATCAAATTGTTGAAAATCAGTTGTGGCTAGGCACAGTGTCTCACATCTATAATCTTAGCACTTTAGGAGGCTGAGGCAGATGGATCACCTGAGCCTGGGAGTTCAAGACCAGCTTGGGCACCATGGGGAGACCCCCAACTCTACAAAAATTAGTCACCAGTGTTGGCATGCACCTGTAGTCCCAGCTACCAGGCAGGCTGAGGGGGGAGGATGGCCTGAGGTTGAGCCCAGGAAGCCAAGGTTACAGTGAGCCAAGATTAAGCCACTGCACTCCAGTCTGGGAAACAAAGTGAGACCCTGTCTCCAGAGAAAAAAATAAAAATAAAAAAATACGGAAATCAGTTGTAAAGAGATAATCCTAAAAGCAGGCTGAGAAAAAAAGCCATTATGCATAGAAGAAGAAATATAATTGCTGTATGCTTCTCATCAGAAAAATGCAAGCCTAAAAATGATGAAAAGACATTAAAGGTGCTGAAAATTGTACACAAATGGTCATGGCGGGTTTCTTCAAAAGAGCCCAAAACTGGACACAATCCAAACGTTCTACAATAGATGAGTGGTATGTTCTGGTGTATTCAACAAGTTCTGGTATATTCAAACAATGAAATAGTGCCTAATAATGAGGCAAGAACTATTCTTCATAAACCAACACATACAAATATTAAAAACCCTAGGCTGAACAAAAGAGTCCAGATACAAAAAAGTACATACTGTATGCTTCCATTTATGTGGAACTGTAGAAAAAGTGTAATGACAGAAGGCAGATCATGCTGTCTGAAGCCCAGGGTCACGTGGAGGATTGAATAAAAAAGGGAATAAACTGCTGTATGAAGGTGATAGAAATATTTTATATCTTGACTGAGGTGGTAGCAGTGGCTAAACTGGTGCCGACCGTTGCCAAAATCATCTTCAAACTGTACACTTAAAATAGACGCATTTTGCTGCATGTAAACTAGATCTCAATAAAACAATATATTGCTTAGACACGCATACAGAAAAAATAATTCTTTTTTTCAAATCAAGGTAATAATAAACACAAAGTTTAGGAACGTGTCTAACCCTGGGTCAGGAAGCTAGTTAGGAGGGAGTAGGGGATTATAAGGGAGGAAATAAGACACAGTTATATTAAATCACTGTCAATAATCCAGTTCTTGGGTTGGGTAATATTTATCATGTTACAAGTGAACAAACCAGAATAAGAAAGGCAGCTTCGTAGGGAGCAATGATGACAGTCTATCACAACTAATCTAATTCTATGGACCTGAAGTAAAGATTAAAAAAAAAAAGAAAAAAGAAAAAGTAGTCACCTCACCCATATATTTCCCATGTCTCAGATGTAGGAAATATGCGAATAAATCCACCTCTCCGATCATTTTCCTCCTTTACCCTCCGTAAAACTTTGATCTAGATGGAAATATAAGATAAAATGAGTACCTACTTTGAAAACTGGAATCCATGTGGCTATAGGACAAAGGAAGATAGTTAGGACCCAAGAATATGAAAGCAGAATTAAGGGAGAAATTAATTCCATTTAAAATGTTCTTCCCTGAGAAAACACTTCTCCCATCTTGAATCTTTTTTTCAATGTAAGACATGAGTTTGTCATAAATATTATGAATCACTCCATAATTTTTGCTAAACCCTGTTTTAACCCACCAAAGCCTAAAATGAATTTATCTTTACCTCCTCCATTGACAGACCAAGCACAGAACCACCCAACTTCCCTGGCCCTTTCTCCCGGGCTGAGCCCACGAGGTTTTTCATTTCTGCATCACTGGCTGAAAGTGGACGGGAACGCTAAAAAGAAGAAAATGAAAATAGTAAAAAAAATTTTTTTAAGTTTTCATTATTCCTCACTTCCCTCTGTTCATTTCCTTAACATCATTATCTTTCCTAAGATATATAAGCTCAAATTCATTAATTACTTTCTGTAATTATCTTAGCCTGAAACCCTGGAAAACAGAAGAAAGCTAATAAACTCAAAGGCAAGAGGAGAAAACAGAATAGTAAAAAAAAAACAAAACACTATGGGTTGAGAAAGAAAAGAGAAGAAAGAAAGAATGAGGTCCATGTGACTTTCTAAGCTAGTATTTAACCCAAACCTTGGTTTTAGAGCACATCTAATATTTCAAGGATATGGAAAAATTTGAAAATGCCCTCAACAGAAAAGTCAATGTATATTTATTTCAGTGAGTATATTATTTTCAGCACAGGAGATGAAGAATTAAGAATTGAGACATAAGACACAAAAACTAGGAACAATCTATTAACATCACAAACGAAAAAGTTGGGCTGTGAGATGTTTTACAGTTTGAGGGGGAAATACTGAGACGAGAGTCATCACTGACACAGAAAAGAGCGTGGCCAAAAGGTTATCACTGTGGTTCTTGAACTTCAAGAGGCCTGAAACACGAGTAACTACCTGGGGCACTCCAACAAGGCAGCCAAAGGGCCCCCGTTCATCACTGATCCCAGAAGAGGTGCTTGGCTAGTTCGGCTTCCACATGGTAATCAGGGAAATCATCGGAAAACACAAGTTTTAAGTGAATTTTGATTTTATGTGAGTAGAGAAACAGAAAGGTAAAAAAGGAAGTCAGTATAAAAGCATGACATAAACTATTACTAAAACTAATGAAGTGACAGACAAAAATAAGACAAATCTGCCAAGTAGAAAGCGTAAGAAAGAATTCACCCACTATGGGTGCAAACTGTCCTCTTAATTCTTAGAAGTAACTTCAATCAGAGAGCAGCAGCCCCACTGTCAGGAGATATTCTTTGTCTTTCTCTATTTGTAGAATATCTATTCAAAGGAATTTTGGTAACTAACTTTTGGCCTTTTTAGCAATACCTGTTGTTATGGATTGAATGTTTGTGTCTCTCAAAAATTCTCATGTTAAAGTCCTAATCTCCAATGTGATAGCATTTGGAGATGGAGCTTTTAGAAGGTAATTAAAGTTGGAAGTCATGAGAGTAGGGCCCTGGTATAATGGGATTAGTGTCCTTATAAGATGAGATGCCAGAGAATTTGATCTCCTTCTCTCTTCCCCAGCCCCAGCCAGTGTGTGTACAAAGAAGAGGCCATGTGAGCATACAACAAAATGGAGGCCTATAGGCCAATTTTAAAAAGCCTTAGAATGAAACCTACTTTGCCGGCACCTTGATCTTGGACTTCTCAGCCTTCAGACTCTGAGAAATAAATTTCTGTTGTTTAAGCCACCCAGGCTATGGCATTTTGTTATGGCAGCCTGAACAGACTAACATACTCACGTAAACAAATAACCAACCATGAACGGTTTTATCTTTGGACACAACCGAGACCAACTAACCAATCTTCAAAGCTAGCACGGGAGTTATAAAAGCTAAATTTTCTGATAGGAAACTCCATGATGGATACCTATATCAAGAAAAACCATGAAATCAACAGATGTAAGCAACATGTGAAGTGCAGAGGCTTTTACTGTGGTGTCTTCAACATCCAGAACAATACATTATACTTGGCATGAAGTAAAACAAGAAGTATTTGTTAAACAAATAAATAAGTGAAAGTGCTGACACCAATTATGGTTAGAATTAAACTCTGTAGAAGGATTTTGGGAAATAGTTTTACTTCCTCAATCTCTGGGACTACATTAAACAGTAGATGTTAAAATGAGAGGGTTTATAGGTTTATATATTATTTGTATAAATACTGTAACCATTGCTTTAAAATCTTTAAAAAGTGTGAACACTTGTTTAATGTATAATTTGGAAAAGCCAAAAATATTAAATGGATAGTTTGAGGACTTTTCTTGTGATCACACACTACCTACTGTTTGCCAGAAAATACTTACCTAGTTCACCCATGATAGTATGTTTCTGATCATAAAGCCGCTGGCAAAGCCTGACGCAGTGGCTCACACTTGGAATCTCAACACTTTAGGAGGCCGAGGCAGGCAGATCACCTAAGGTCAGGAGATCAAGACCATCCTGGCCAACAGGGTGAAACCCCTTCTCCACTCAAAATATAAAATTATCTGGGCATGGTGGCACATGCCTGTGATCTCAGCTACTCAGAGGCTGAGGCAAGAGAATTGCTTGAACCCTGGAGGTGGACACTGCAGTGAGCCGAGGCTGCACCATTGTACTCCAGCCTGGGCAACAAGAGCAAAACTCCATCTCAAAAATAAAACAATAAAGCCACTGGCAGTTAGTCCCTAAAGTTAAGTAGCTTTCTTGCATGATACTATCTCAAATTACGTAAGGAGATAGTAAGCAGTAAGTATTCATTTAAATAATAAAAATAAGCATTTTTATCAAGCTTAAGAACAGAAAGAATGTTACTTAGAAGGCTGATAACCTAAAAGCTACATTAACTAAAAGTATTTAAAGAAAAAGTTATTAACTATTAAACAGATTTAAGGAATGCATGGGTATATTTAAAAGAACCAAGGTCAAATCACTATTAAACAACATCTAATGAGAACCCCCCAATTCTTGGGTGTTTTTTTAAATGGTTTTTTAATATTCCTGGCTTCTAGAAATTGAGATAATGATGTTGTAACCTCCTCCTACTAACCGAATGTGGTTCCTGTAACCAATGAATTAGCACCCCAAATTCTCAAACTTCTCTGCGAATCACTTTCAAAGAGTTGTCTCCCATACACAGTCACAACCACTCCTTTGTTACAGCCTACAACTCCAGGTCTAGCTACTGTGTACAAATGTGTAAACTGTTTGGGGTCGGGTAGAGGCATGTAGAAATTCAGGTCTGTGCTTCTAAGTTGGGTATTTAAGAGCTTTGAGAAAGGAATAAATGTGACCTGAATTAAAGTCACAGGTGAAAGAAAAGGCAGAGAAAGAGAGAAGGGAAGAAGAAAGGATAACATGGACAGAAAAAAGAAAATAAATGCTTATGAGTGTCAAAGAGACACACTTGGAGATTAAAAACAAAGGTTAAAAAAAGGAATCAGAATGATTTGAAAGGCCATCAAGACTATTACAAACAAAGGCAAAACAGTCCAAATGCAAGTCATTCTGCAGCTTTGCCTTTGGGGACAACAGCTACATCCTCTGGATAGCAGATATAATAAATCCACATATTCCCATAGGTTGACTGAATGTACTTAGGAAATAAGGCTCCTCTGAACTTAGAGAGGAGAACCACTGCCTCTGGTTAAAAGATACATGATTTAAATATCCAGTGCTCAGATAAATTTTAAACTGTCAAATAACTGTCAAGTTAAGAAGTCTGCCATGCAACATGCACCAAAGATAAATTTATCAATAGACAACTTATGATTCAGAAATCTACCCAAAGAAGAAACCTTACGCATCTAACCATCATTGCTAAGGAACAACTGACAGAATGTGAAATTATTGAGACAAAGAACCACCAGTCTCCACTCAGTCAAAGCAGTAAGAAACAGATGTTGAATCAGAAACTGACTCTCAGCCTAAAAAAAGCTGGCAAGTACCAGTGATGAGAAGAACTTGACAAAATGTAGAATGGAGAAAAATAGCAAGATATCCTAAAAGTATATCATAATTGAGGGGCAAAAATAAAATTCGCTTGACAGAGAACACATGCAAAGAATAAAAATTTCTCAATGCAGTTTTACGAAGTTTGGAATCCTTCATTAAAAGCAAAGAAACTAGAAATAGCTCAATTTATATGTGATACATTTTACCATCAAAAAAACAAAAGATAAAATCAAGTTTAAAGGCAAAATGAATTAATGCTATCGAATGAAAGAAAATAAATGGACAAGACCACATTAACAATAAATCTGAGTGGAAATTGACCAAAAAAATGGCTTCTAAGAGAACATTTAAAAATAATGATAATCAGTGTATACTCTGAAATTGGTGGGTGGAGGGGGGAATAAGTAGGCTTGTCTAACAGTAAAAAATAAAGTAAAATAAAATAAAAAGAGTTATGTAACATCTAGAAATTTGGAATAAATGTAAGCCAGCAGGTCTGAGAGACATGCATTTTGTTATTAAGGAAACTGGCTTTAAAAACAAACAAACAAAACTTACCAAACCACTTAAAATTACATCTGAAAAATCATGAAGAACTGAGGAACTACCAGATTGGAAAAACAACAAATGAGGTACTAATCTTCAAAAATGTAAGAAGTATGCTCCTGGTGGTTAATGCCTGGTAAATCTAACTCGAATCCTTAGTAAAATAATGAAACAAATATTAAAAGGAAAAAAATCCCTAATAATTTAGAGGATAGTGGGCTCATGAAGAATAGTATGAAGAATGCTTTATTTATTTTAAAACATGCTTTAAAAGTTTGATTTTTGGGACAAGAGTTTTAAAAGGGGAGCTATAGCAATATATTTAATGTCTTTGGATTTTAGAGAAGCATTTGAGAAAATTTTATAACATTTTTATTCTAAATTATATGTCAAGGGTTACTGCCAGAATATAACACATCAACAAAAACGAAAAACAGTGTAACTGTAAGATAGAGTAAATAGCAACGAATCAAGTTAGGGAGGGATTTCTAAAATGGGTATTAACTAAGTATTGCTTAAAATTTTCATTAATGTCTGGAAGTAAAAATAAAATAGCATTTTTGGATGACAGCAAATGCAAAAACGTGACTACAAACAGGTGAATATCAAAGTAATGAGATCTTCACAATGGGAAAATCAAGGTTCAAAAGTGTGAAGGGGAGTGAATCTTCTTAGTATAAACTAGGCTTATAAATGTCTAGCATTTAGCCTGAATATTTTACCTATGTTTTATCATTTTTTTCTCACCATAACTCGATGTATGAATTATTATCCCCATTTGACAGATGGGAATTGAACCTTAGAGAGGTAAGAGAACTTGCCCAAATATCTAATTACTAGTTATCAGCAGAGCTCAAATTTGAATTCAGGTCTATCTGACTATAAAGGTACATGTTCTTTCCATAGTACCATGCAATACAATTTCTGGTGAGTGGAAAATCTGAACCATAGACATTAAAGAGAAGGGAGAAATACAGATAGAGAAACTGGATTAAAAAGGAAAAGGCAGACAAGGGACAAAGAACTAAAAGAATTCACAATCTGACAGCAACAGAAAATGAAAGCTTGACACAATCTAACTGGTCAGAACAGAGAATTTTTCTTTTTAACTTGGCTCCCATGAAAATACTGTGAAGTTAAGAGTGCTTCGTTAACAGAAAGACAATGACAAAATAGAACATTGCAAAGAACGATTAAAGTCCAAGAATTCAACACATATAAAGCTGGCTGAATAAAGTCAGAAAGCCTTTATGTAACATTCAAATACATTACTATGAAAGAGAGGTCTTGCTCTCCAACAAAGCTATTATAACCTATGGTAATCCAAGCAATGCAACTAGATGCAATGGAATTAAACTGATAATGACAAATTAAGATTAGAACTACATATCAAAGGCCGGGCTCATGCCTGCTATCCCAGCACTTTGGGAGGGCCAAGGTGGGCAAATGGCTTGAGCTCAGAGGTTCCAGATCAGCCTGGGTAACAAGGCAAAACCCTCATCTCTACCAAAAATACAAAAAATTAGCCAGGCGTAGTGGTGTGCACCTGTAGTCCCAGCTACTTGGGAGGCTGAGACGGGAGGATCACCTGAGCCTAGGAAGTCCAGGCTGTAGTGAGCTGTGATCGTGCCACTGCACTCCAGCCTGAGTGACGGAGTGACACCCTGTCTCAAATAAATAAATAAAAATAAAATAGAATTACATTTCAAAAACATTTCTTTAGAGTCAAACGCCAAAGGCTATAAAAGATTACTCATTTCTTTACGTACTCCTATCAGTAGATTAGTTCCAGGTATATTTAGAATATAAGCTCTTTGAAGTCAACAGGCTTATTTTGTTTTGTTTTGTTTTTTTTGCCACGGGTAGCAGCTAGCATACTTAGGTATTTACTAAATATAAAACACTACATATTATAGCATTTCAAATTCTACCAACTAAGCACCAAAATTCATACTACGGAACCACATTAATCAGTTACTAAATATTAGGGCATTCAAAGTTATTATTTCTTGCATTCACACAAACCATATAAATCACTTTATCAGAAAGAGTAGCTAAGAAAGTTACAAGTCAAGCATTCAAGCTTACCAGAAATTGCATCAGAGAGTACAAATGCCAAAATAAATATACTGGAGCTTTTTGCTAAATAATAGTTGCAGTGACACGTTTATATATGAGGATATCTATAACCCTCATACCAAAGCATCAAATAGCAGGCACAGGACTCCCACTGCTAGCCTAATACTTCAAAAAGAATTTTTTAAATTTGTGCAGAAGAAAGCGATGGTTAATCTCAAATACTGCTAACAGAAACAGTAAGCAAGCAGATGCTGATCATTCAGAATGTTCAGAAAGAAAGATGTTTGCATTTCAAAGGTAGCATCTGAGACACTATTATGGCAAAGCTTCTAAAGATGTGTAAACTGCAAATCACTACTATTTGAAATGTCACCTGTTAAGGAACTCTAATACAGCCCAACACCCAATGTGAAAACATTTCCAATATTAAGCTATAGACAACAGTATGTTTCGTAAGATGTCTGGGGAAAAAAATGAAGTTCATTTGTGAACTACAAAATTTCCTCCCTGGAATATTTTGGTCAACTAGATAGATATGCCTATAAGCCCCTGTTCATTGTTTAAATTCAGCTACCTCCACTGCAGTATAATCACTATCAGGAAAAGAGGATCCCTAAGTTCCTGCATCCTCTACTCTTATATTCTATAACCAAAAAGACTTCTATGCATTTATTTTCATTTATGTTATTAACTGTACAAAAAAACAAACGAACAAAAAGACAGGTACATAAAGTATGTACCATAAAAAACTAAAGCTAAAAACCTTTCCATTTGGAGAATGAAAATAAAATTTGAATGAAGTCTCCAAAAGATCTAGAACTTACCTGCTTGGCCTTTGATGACTGTAACTGTGCAGATACTGGACGCTATAAAAGACAGAAAAATGGAATAAAGCCTTATCTTCTCCTAACATGCCTACATTTTCCATCTCCTAGATCTATGATATAAAAGAGGAAAAATAATCTCCAAGCAGACTCCAAAGCAAGAGTCCTACACTTGGTAGTTGGAAGGTTAGAACATTTATAATATTTCATTATACTGCTTTCTCCTATGCCATGTATATTCCAGCTTCAACTTCTCACTGCTGAGGGCGCAATCCTACTGCCAGATACTGAAGACCCTGAAGTCAACTAGTCCACCTGACAAACTGGTTTCACACACTACACATAACTAATCTACAGTTCCTTTAGCCTTTATGTAAGTGTCCTGCAGGCTGCTTATGGATGAAATCATGCCATTACCTATGAGTTGGCAAAACAAGCATTGAATAGACTTTCTAGAGTTTGCAAAGAGTTGCCAAAAAAGCTAACAGGCAACCTCAGAAAAGGGATCCATTCATCCAAGATTGGCAATACAGCTACCTCTAGAAGTGAAACTTGGCAGAAACTGTGTTAAAGCTGCACAGAAACGTTCATGATCCTTTATACATAATCCTGTGGTTCTTGCCACAGATACTGCAGGAAACAATTTGCAAAGGAATGTGATTGCCTAAATTAAGTTTTCCTAATATACCTAGGTTAATCCTCTACTTTTTCTTATTAAAAATTAAAGAAGACCCTTTGATCTGTGATAATGCACTGATCAAGTATAACCCTAATAACTGATTTTATATCTAATCCAAGATAATAGCCCTTAAAATCCAGTACACCCTGTTCCACATCCCAACACTAATTAGAGAGTATTTCTACAGCATGGGGTCACAGATAGGCAAAGACTGAATCCAGCTCAAAGACATATTATGCTTGGCCTGAAAAGTATTGTTTCTAATGAACTAGCTGCCAATATTTAAAGTAAGATTTCTGATTTCTCTTGATAATAGGAAGATCTCGTAACACCTGGCCCACACCTAAGCATGACAGTAATTAGCTGGAGCACGTTAGTAAAACAGTCACCCGTTTCAGATGAGGTACGCACTCTCTAGTTTACCTCAGTCATATCACTCTTAGCTGTATTATACCTGCCTCTATTTACTCATTTATATTACCTGCCTGCAGGCCCTCTAGGCATTTGAGTTTGAAAGCCCTGTTCTAATAAAAAATCATCTGAATAAATAATAGTATATGAGTTTGGCAAACAGAAAATAGCACTACTCCAAATGAAACTAGCAAGCAAAACGAACAAGAGGAGGAGGGATGTGAGTAGAAGAAGGGAGGAAAAAAGGGAGAAGCAGAGGGTTAAAGTGTAGTTGGGGCAGGGATAAAAAGAGAGGAGAAGAAAAGGAAAGAGAAGATGGGGAGCAGGAAGAAAAAGCTGCTTATGCCTTCAAAAAGCCTACAATCTGGCAGAAGAGGACAATTTTAAAGCAACAAATCAATAAATGCAAAACAATGTAATATAGAACAAGTGAATAATATTAAAATGAAAAGTAAAGGTCATGATGGATTTAATAAGACTTCCAAAATGTCTGAGCAGGCAAAGTAATCAAACCAGATGGGAAGAGAAGAGCAAAGTGGATTTTTTAAAATAAGAAGAAATGTTAAAGGCCAAGAAACAAAAGTGGAAAATTAGCAGGGTCAAAACAGGCAGGGACTGACAAGACGACGGAATGAGTAATAGAAGGATTAGCTGATTGGTTTAACTGGAACAAAAATGCAGAGTACACAAAAACTGAAGCAGTGCTTGATGAAATGATATTTTAGACATGTATAAGTTTCTTTGGGCTTTTATCTCATTTAGCCTCAATCAATAACTCATGATCATGGAGCGTCCGAGGAAAATTACTTGTAGAGAAGATACTATTTCAAGAAAGCATCTTCTTTACAAAGCTAGTCTGAAGACCAGAAAGAACACAGTAAGGACTGAAAATTAGTAGGCTTCTTCTCTGTGCTTTGTTTCTGAGCACATCAATCTGAGGTGAAAAAAGGTTATTTTTAAAAACAGAGAGAAGGAAGATAATGAAAAAAGCCAAGATAAAAGACAAAACAAAAAATAGGGAGTAAGTTTGCTGGAAAACATTTAAAGCACAAGCTGTTAGCCACAGCTGAATATAACTGCCTCCTATCTAAAGTGATCCCCAAATTCTCCTGCTCTAAGTGACCTCATATCCACAGTGCCTCAGCTCCCTCAGTTACACCAGGCGCCACTTCCCAGTAAGCTGCCTTCAGGCTCCCTGCTGCAGAATTTGCTTACCTGAGGTTTCTGGAAAGGGTTTCGCCTGGAAGACTCAAAGGTGGGATAAATTGGCCGGGTTGATGCTCGCTGGGCAGGATCTTGGCACACAAATCCTGAAAGGGGAATGGGCAACATTAAAACCTGCCATTTTCTAAGATATTAGCAGGTCTGACTACACCTTTTCTTTAGATATACAGACTCAGTTTCACTGTCATAACTATTACAGACATCTAGCCTCAGGAGGGTAATGCACAACTCTCCCATACATACACTTTGCTTGAACTCTGAACCACCATAATTAGAGAGAACAAGAAAAGGGAAATATGCAGATAAATTAACCTTGCTAGTTGGGTAGCTGAAATGTGATTCTGAGTGAGAAAGAGATGTAGATTTTTGATAAACCTAAAACAACTGCAAACCACCACTTTAAAACACATGGTTGTTAATAAAAACAAGTTACTTTAAAGTGGCTACCTGGATGATGACTGGAAAATAAAGTTATTTTTACGGGGAAAATCCAAAAGCAAGTTAACAGTCTTGTCCTGTTACATGATCTGCTTCTGGAACTGCAGAAGGTGGTCTATTGGCAACTTTCAAAATGGGCTTTGTAGATTATCTATGGCTTTGGAAATTGGACTTCAGCTAATTTCACTTACTTCCTAAAAGAAGCAGATTCCCATCCAAAGAGAATAGAGTAGCTAAGTTTTACAGCATTTGCTAGTACATCAGGTACTAGTTCATCGCAAATATATTTTATTAAGTCTTTTTATAGTACTTAAAAAAACAACAAACGCACAAAATAGCCACCTGACCGCTCATCTCCATTTCAAAGTTTTGGCTTATCTCTTAAAATGGGATTTCGTCTTTGGGCTGCTTTGGTTATAATAACTACTATAGAAGGGATCACACTGAGACCAGTAGAGACTATCTAGCAGAAATATAGCCAGTCTCCGTTATAACAAGGCTTCTTCAGTGGGTTTTACTTTCCCAGTTTGGAGAAAAATACACTTTCTCCAGATCTTTGCTAATTCTCTTTCTCAGCTCATAATTCCTGTGCCCCAGGTCTCAGCCTTAGTTGTGGTTTAGCCTCAGGACAGGATGGAGCCAAGAGGAGTAGAAACATATAAACATTTCCCTGAAAATATAATTTTTTAGTATAAAACACTCAGCATGGCTTAGGAACTGCCAGTTGGCAAAACCTATGGAGTCTGACAAAATGGACACTCTGCTTAATTTTTATATGAGTCCAGTTTAGAAAACACTACTACTCACCTACAACAGTGAACATATCTGAAATCATACTGGCTTTAATCTTTAGGTCCAGAGGTGCATCACTAACAGAAACAAAGAAAGAAAAGAGCAATTGGTAAGTGTGTAGGTTAAAAGAATAGCCACCCTCTAATGGGCCCCAATATAGCAAAGTTTCCAAATGTCAGTGAAGAGCAACACATAAAGCCCATAAAATCTGTGGGGTGGGGAATCTGTGCACAAATATGAGAAATGAAATCCTGGTGTTCAGTTTGTCCTCTGTAATGCAAACCCAGCACCATGCATTGATTCTCTAACATGCAATTTTTTTATACCAGAAGGTCTTGTGCAATTCAAATTTTGCAGAAGTCAAGAATACTGCTTCATTAAAACTGGATTTCAGAGGTTCAGACTTTCAGTACGCTCTTTTATGAGTGTGCCCATCGTTCAAATTACTTTTCACTGCTGTAACAGTCAAGTCACATTCACATGCAAAAGAAGCAACTTTGGCCATATTTGTACTTTTTTAAGTCTTTATGTTCTGTGCTAAAACAACCTTCTTAGGCTTACAGGCTTGCAAATAGGGCAAAAACAAAAACAAAAAAACGAGTCATACCAAAATCTCACCAGATGATACAGCAGAAACCCACATGAAAACAAAAAGAAGATGGACCAAAAGCAAGAGGCCTCCCTGTGGCGGTGACTGCCACACTGGCTTCAGCATTGAGGTGTTCCTCCATGAACCAAACGGCTCTGACTGCTATACTCAGTGCTTCATTCTGGGGATTTCTAACTTCTGATGTATAGTATAATACACTTTACTGGGCAATCTGCAAAAGGCTTACTTGACGAAAGTTCCGTAACACCTGAAGCATCTGTAATATCTAGCTCTACACCTTACTATGGAGGTTAAGCCAAACTCCCACTCCAAAAGCAGTCAATCTGTCTTTATTTGATTACTTGGCATTTTGCCAGTATCTCTCATCCTTAAAAACTCAGCAGCTGGGTGGTCTCTGGCATAAACCTCTGGAGTTCTCTGTTTAGAGAAGTGTACAGTGAACAGAAATTCTGGCTATAGCTCCTTAATAAGAATATAATATATTAAGAATCTTTATTTATTTATTATAAAATATAATAAGAATCTTCTCTGGTATTGAAAAATATGTTTCTTTTCTTCTTCTAAACAATAGGTTAGTTAAAAAAATTTTTAAGTTGTTTGAAGTTTTTTACTTTAAACTTGGATGACTTTAAACATAGGACAGGGTAAAAGCACCACATATTATCTACGTGGCCCTAGATCCAGCTTTATATCATTATAGTATATGTGGATTTGAACCCATAAAGCTTTTGGTAATAAAGGAAATATAATAACTTACATAATTCCTTAGCCTTAACAGAACACCTACTACTAAAAAAAAATACAGGGATAAAAATGAACATAAAAATCATCCCTTAGAAGCCTAATAAGCAGAAATCATGTAATTGTAAATTGACTAGGAAGACAAAGATTCATGATTCCCATATAAACTTTGACATTATGCCATAAACCAGCTAATTTAAGAAAGTCTGGTTATCTCTAATAACTAGGGAAAAAAATAATCTTCTAGTACCAAGAGAAATGACTCCAAAAAAAAGTGATTTAAATATTTCTTGAAGGTTTGTCCTTTTCTAGCAGATGGAATTGACTTACCAGGCCAAAGAAGGAGAGAGATTCACTTCCAACAACCATGGCTTCAGAGTAGAATCTATGAGCACATCAAAGCCATAGAGTTCTAGAAATACAACACAAGATAATACACAAATCATTTTCCATGTCACAACCACACAAAGATCTACAACATTCAATCTGATCAACTCCCAGGCCTAGAAACTCACTGAGTATAAGTAGTAAGTGGAAGTAGAAACAGAGAATCTTTCAAGAATCTTCCAAGTATCTTTCAAGTTCAAGAGAAATTAATCAAGTTCTAGGATAATAAGAAAACAATGCAATACAATTCCACTGTTTTTATCATGCACTGTCTATTGATGTTTCTAAGTCCTACATAGAAAGCGACCTGACTCTAGAATAGTTAACTAATACGATTCTGCTATGTTTATGGGCAAAAGAAAAAAAATGGAAAATAGAATGAAGTAAGTGCAACCAACACCAATGCTGCTTTAGGCCTGCTCTGAATTCCCCTCCCCCAGCCCCTCCCTGCCAATTCTGAACACAGAAACATCTCCTGAAGGCATTTCTCTAGAATCCTTCCATCACATTTTCTTAAACCAAGATATTGTTTTTGCAACCTAGGTAAAGAAGACATCTAAATGTATTCTTTCCCCTCTCCTAGAGTTTCAATTTCACTTTGAAGACAGAAAATAAAATACACTGCCCCAACATGAACTGAAAGACAAGAAAAGAGAAAGCCAGTGGTAGTAGAGCCCAGGTGTGACAAGCTATCTTGAACAACTAATATCATTTATGGGTGGGGGCCAGAGATCAAGTTTTTGGATTCTGTATTGATTCTCTTCCTCTACCTTCCCAACTGCTGCAAAGAGAAAGCAAGTCTCAGGAGTAGGTTTTCCTGTCAGAATGCCTAGTTTCATTTAACAAGTTCAGGGATGAAAGGTTAACTATGGAATCCTTCATATTATTATTAATGAGACCTTCTCTACAAAAATCACAGTAGTGTACAGTCCTTTGTGTGTGTGTGTGTGTGTGTGTGTGTGTATACATATGCATATACAAATACATATAAAACACCACACCTAAACATCCCATCCTGTGACCCTCAAAAAAACAGCTTATGTTTTTTCTCTAGGAATAAACACTACCACACTACCTTCTTTACTGTCTGATCAGAGGTCACTGGCCAGACCTCACACCCACAGAACACAACCAAGTATTTTCCAGAAATTAATTCTAATACAAATTTCCTCGCTTCAAGAAGGATTTTTAAATTTCTCAATACTCTCAGAAAACAGAAAAATAGATCCTAAAAAGATGGCCCCAAAAAACTCTTCTAGAACACAGGAAGTCTGAAGTTACATGAGGTATTAAGAATCCTAGAATGGGAATCTAGAGACCTAGTTGTCCCCATAATTCTACATCATATCTACATGATTCTATGGAACTTGGGGAAATCATTTTTCTCCCTGAGATTTCCTTAGCATCCTTTGATTTCCTTTGGCCTCTTTATTAATATCTGGATGCTATTTACATATATATGGCAGTAAGAACTCAGACATGCATATTCAAAAATCCTCTAGGGAGAAGTTTCCATGAATGAAGTTGACTTCCACTGTAATTATATGGGATTCCATTTCATTTGCAGAAATCATCACAAACTATATTAGAGGTTGAGATGGGATTCACCTTCAAGTAACTATACAAAATTTATATATTATCTATACTTTAAAATGTAAAGAAACAGAAGATATTTCACCTATCTTCTTTTGGTAATGAATTCATAGCTTTTAACAGCTAATACATTCTTCTGAATAGCTGATCTTATCTTCAGTAATATTGTAAAATATTGCCCCTTTAACCTAAGAAAAATCATTTGTGATAAAACACTAAATAAGGCATTTAAAAGGAATATCTACTTGTAAAATCTGCAAGTCCATATTATTTTATACAAGCAAGAGAGACTGCAACATTTGATTGAAGTAAAATAACATTCTATTCATTGTTTAAAAGCTGAAGCATAGGATTCAACCGTTTCATAAAGTGGTAATATTATTAATAGTAAGAAGAACAGGGTGAAAATAATGATTGATGCACATAGTGGTCAGGTCTGCAGAATCAGCTACAAATGAAGATATATTCAAATCAGACTAACAATCAATGAAACCCACTATTTAAATATCCTGCATTAAGCAGCTACACATTTGCTTAACCATTTCTCCAAATCAGAGGCAAATTCCAAGAATCTCAGTTGACAGGGATGAGAACCAATATTTCGGGAAATATGAGGGAAGCAAATGACTGAGAGAGAAAACACCCTTCACAGAGCTAAATTAATTTTCATTCGGATGACTGAACCCTTTTAGTGCTAAACAACCTCTATGGAAAGGGTGCCCAAACTAAAAATATCAAGCCTCAAATCTAACCACATCTTTACATGTATCAGGCTTGGACTTACTATCATTTAAAAGTTGAAGAAGAAATATATACCAGTATGTGACAGCATTATAACTTAGTGTAAAACCCAGTTCACCTCAAAGGCTGACATGAGAGAGAGGAACGGGGTGGAAAGATAGCTTCTGTATATGGTTTTCCTCTTTGAACACGATCAATTCAGCTTAAGAAAAATAATTTGGGTCCCTGGCAGGCTACTAGAGTCCTTATAAGAAGCTTCTAAACTTATGATTGGTATTTGGTATTTTCTATGGTCATTATAAAGACTTTAAAAGGTAAGAAGTAGGTTGTGCTGAGCATAATAAACTTCCTTATCTTTTAATGTTGTATGTTTTGGCAGCAGTAACGAGAATTTCAAAAATTCAGTACCCACAATGAGACACACCAGCGTTTCTTACATGAATGGGTATGAGCAAGCTGGGCTTTTCCAGTTCTGAGAGCTCCTCTCTTTTTGTTCCTCTGTGTTGTCTTTATTATGACAGAAAAGCAACTATTTTCAAAGGACTATTGCTATGCCTTATGGAACATTTCCCCAGGACAATTTTCCTTGGTAAGAAATATTTCCTTCAGCCCCTAGCCAAACCAAGGCAAACTTAGCTCCCTACCTCTTTAATACAGTTCCTTGAAAAAGCAATCTACACTTAGCAATCTGAACTTCTTAATATCTATTCACTCCCAGCCCACAGGAATTTGCTTCTGCTCCCACTCTAATAACTGACTATCCTCAATATGATCACCAAAGACTACCTTATTGCTCAGCCCAAACATCTGAAACTGATGACCATGCCTCACTTATTGGAGCTTTCTTCTCCCTTGGGTTCCAGGACACGGCTCTCTTCTGATTTTCCTCCTCCTTTCCTTCCTTCTCTTCTACCCAGATATTCAATGGTAGGTTTGCTCAAGGTGACATTCTCAGGTCTCCTTTCTTCTCAATTCGACTTTTCTCCTTCGGCAATCTCATGTATTCTCCTGGCCACAATTAATATGATGATAATCATGATATTCAAATCACATCTTTAGCCAAGTGTCTTCTGGACACCAAATCCATAATTCAAACTTCCTTCTGGACATGTTCACTAGGATATTCCATAGGTATTCAGCACTCAACAAAACAGCCCTTGTTTTCTTTCCCCAAAACTATTTGGTTTGCTATTATTCTTCATCTTGGAGAATGGTATCCCCGTCCACCAGACTCCAAACTAGAAACACTCTTCTACCACCTCCCAAATACAAGATATCACCAAATCTCTTATCTCTCTTTCTTTGTCTTCAATCTTTCTCTTTAGTTTCTCTCTCTCTCTTTTTTTTTTAGATGGAGTTTCGCTCTTGTCTCCCAGGCTAGAGTGCAATGGCGAGATCTTGGCTCACTGCAACCTCCACCTCCAGGTTCAAGTGATTCTCCTGCCTCAGACTCGCAAGTGCCTGCAATTACAGACATGCGCCACCAGGCCTGGCTAATTTCGTATTTTTAGTAGAGATGGAGTTTCTCCATGTTGGCCAGGCTGGTCTCAAACTCCTGACCTCAGGTGATCCACTCGGCTCAGCCTCCCAAAGTGCTGGGATTATAGGCGTGAGCTACCACGCCCAGTCAGTTTCTTTCTCTTTAATCTCTTTAATCTTCTCTATTCCCTTTTGTGGTATAATTTACATATGATTGAAATGGTTAGATCTACATGTACAACTTGACAAGTCTTGATAATTGGATACTCCCATGTAACCCACATGCCCATCAGCCCACACAGAATGTTTCCATCACCTGCAAAAGGATCCATTGTGCTGTTTCCTGGTAAGTACTCTGCCCTTTCCCCCACTGCTGACAATTACTAGTCTTATTTCTTTCACCATAGATTAGTTTTGCTTATTCTAGAATTCCATATAAATGGAATCATATGGTATATACTCTTTTAGTCTGGTTTCTTTCATCTAGCATGTTTCTGAGATTCATCCATCTGTCACTGTTTTTTGTTTTCAGGCAGATTTATCAAAGTATAATTTACATACAATAAATTCACCCTTTTAAAGTGTACATTTTGTTGAGTTTTGACAAATATATGCAATTGTCCAACACCACCATAAAATATAGGACAATTTTAACAAATGCACTCCCTGTGCCCCTTCTCCAGTCACACTCCTACCCTTGGCAACCACTGATCTTATTTTTGTCTGCTTTCTGCCTTTTCCAGAAAGTCAAATAAATGAAATTAATGCAATATGTAGTTTCTTGAGACTGGCTTCACTTAGCATTGTGCTTCTGAGATTCATCAATGTTGTTACACATACCAATAATGAAGTTCATTCCTTTTTATAGCTGAGCAGCTTTCCATTATATGGACATACCACAACTTATTTATCCATTCAACAGTTGATAGACATTTGTTTCCAATTTTTGGCAATCATTAATAAAGCTGCCATAAACATTTATGTACAGGTATTCAAATAAACACGTGGTTTCGATCCTTCTGGGAAAATACCTATAAGTGGGACTGCTGGGTCACATAGTAAGTATATATTATCACTGCATACCTCTTACCACCTTAGTCATTTCCTTAGCACTTGCCTCTCCCAATTGCAGTCCATTCTTCAAGGCCATCGGAATTATACCTTTCTTAAAAAAACAAACTTAACAGTCATATAGAGATAAGCAATGAAGTG